CTGACTCACTCACTCATCATAAAATGTTTGGGGTCAAGGAGTGGTCGTAGAGACTTGCGGTGTATTCCATTCGATTCCAAATTTTATGGAAAAAGGAAAAAAAAACACCCCAAAAAGTTGAAAATTCCTCACAGTTTTCGAGAAAACCCCACTCAATCTTAAAAAAGGGGACCGACCGACTGAAAATTTTTATTCGCCCTATCGATAGGTCTAGTCGAGACTTTTCCGAAACTGTGCCGTAATCGGGTCCCCGTCACCGGCAACATCCTCAAAATCATCAATGAAGAACCTATATCATCAAGAACCTATATATCAATCAAGAACCTATCCCCTTTGGGGCAGTAATAGTAGCTTAAATATATATATGGTCTAAAGCAGTTAAATAGACCCCCCCCAAAAAGCAGTACATTTACTTAGAAAATTTGTCTCTGGTCACCACGGACTTACCTAAAATACTTCGGTATGCGCCCCACTTATGCGGGGGTCTGGGGGCGGAGCCCCCAGCGAGCGTCGCGAGTAAGATTCATAAAGACACAAGTTGAGTTATCTCCTTTCGCCATTTTGTGCAAAGGAGTTATGTGGACTTCGGTTGAGTTACCTCCGTTTTCCGAAAAAATTTAGACCATAAAAGGGGCCAAGTTGAGTTATATCCATTTTTCATGTGGATTTTCTCCTAAACTTTTAGGAATTGGGTCAAACAAATTTTTTGTAATGATGCAAACCCTCCAGAGGCAAATAATAAGGTAAAAAGTCAATTTGGAGACAAGTCGAGTTATTTTCTTCTTCCGCTTCCTGGATCAAATGTTTTTCGAGCAAAGTCAATGGATATGGCGTACAGAGCCAACATCTGTTTTGCGATTGGGTATAGGTTTGGTCAAACAGTTCTAAATAAACCGCTTTACGGCGAGCGTGGAAAAGTCCTTTAACCAAAACCGCCGAGTTTCGGTGCACTCCACAAAAATTGTCCTGTCAACGCCGTTAATTTATTACCAATGTTTGCTGTTATGCAATTCACGGCGTTTGCTGTGAACTAGTTCACGGCGTTCATTGTGATCTCGGTTACAGTGTTCACTGTGATCTGGCCACAGTAAACGCCGTGAATTGGAGCCTGATTTGCAGTACTTCGATGCTCAGCGGCGTCAAACTCACAGTGTTTACTGTAGAACAGATCACAGTGAACACCGTGAACAAGATCACAGTGAATCGCGTGAGCAGATCACAGTAAACGCTGTGAGTTGACCTACAGTGAAAACTGGTAATAAATTAACGGCATTGACAGGACATTTTTGGTAGAGTGTGGCGACCCGAGTGGCGCTCCCGAGTGGCGCTGGAGTGGCGACTTCGCGGAATCAGTCCGACCAGTGCGCGCTCGCCGCTCGGCCGGCGGATCAAGGACTTTTCCGCGCTCCTGGGCGCCCGGCCGGCCGTTCTGCTCTCGCCGTACAGCGATTTATTTAGAACTGTTTAAACAAAACTATACTTATTTTTTGTAAGAGTATAGATTTAAGTTTGTCCACTAACCTAAGGGCAACACTCCACACAACTACGTATTCGTATTAGCAACAATAATACTTAGTATTTTTTAAGTAAGTACGACTAATTTCCTTTGTTAAATTATGTAAAAAAAAACAAAATGTCAGTACAATATTGAATATTTCTTAAGTAGTTCATTAAAGAAATACGTATTATGGTTGCAAAAATTGCTTGCATAGGTACTGAAAAAATAAGCAAAAAGTCAGTAACGTGCTGAGAGTGTTGTGTTTGGACGACTGGTCCAAAATCATCGAGGTTGTATGACAGCCTGACGTTGATTCTGTAAAGACCAAAACATCGTATGTCTCATCGTGTAACATTCTGAATTTGAAACCGTTAATGCGAGCGAACGGAGAGCCACATCACGAAACTGAGATCAGATTTGAAGTCCTCAGGAAATTTGCCTACTATTCAACTTGAAAAGCGTACATAGTGAGCTCTACCCGGAGCATGCCTGCAAGTACGCTCTAGCTAGCACATGCCTGCCAAGCATGCTCTCACTAGTGCATACATGCCGAACAAGAATCAATTGTAAGAGGGATCAAGTCAGCGTAATTCCCCTTAGTTTAAACAACTTAGATGGAAAAAGGAGCTTGGTCCAAAAAAGTATACGAACTCCCTGTGGTAACATACCGTCTGCACGACATTTCTCAGCAGGAAATTGGGTGTGTTTGACATAACAGGAACCAGCCACAAAATTATGTAAATAATAATAATTATTTTATTGAGTTCCACCGCCTGACGTCCTGTTGCCGTGGCTGTGCTGACCTGTCCCTGAACCGATCGTGCACATCGGTGTTTGTACGGTGTGGATAGATGATTCTCGTATGTAATATGTAATGTGGTAACCAAGATAACACCTTGAAAGGATAAAAGATGGGATTTTCTTTGCTCCATACGTATCATTAAAAGTGAAATTATGTCGTTGTTTTGAACATAATTTTTGGTTTGGTGAGACAGAAAGCTTGTCTGCTGAATCTCTTTCTTGTTTGATTCGTGAGTTAGGTTTTCTAAACCGAGAACTCGTTTTTTATGTCACTTAGCTTTTCAATTCCTACAGCCTGACGTTCAGTTTGCATTGCTTGTTTTATGTTATTGTTTTGATGTCGATAGTACACACACATCTTTCGTTTCACTCACAATCGTAGACCTGTCTCTTTTATTGTCTTAGAAACCTTTAAAAACATACTAAAAGTACTGAACGCTGTGTTTTTTTTAAAGTTTTCCTCAAAGTTGATATAAAGGGTCTTCATATTGTCCTTTTCACGCGCTAAAAACCTTACAAAGTATTTTGAGCATTCATGGTGCAAACCAATTTGCTTTCTTATACGAATATAAAGTTCTTAAATCATTAGGTATTGTCTTTGTGAGCTTCTGTATGCTCAAAATACTTTGATGCAACAAGCTGCTTTTCTATTTAAGGCCTCAAATAGTTTGTAAGGCTTTCCCAGTGCAGATTTTATTGTGTGGCTGGTTCCCGTTATGTACCACAGAAATACGGACTCTATGCAGACCTCAGCTCCTCTTGAATTTTCCCCAAATTCCACCTTGTTTGGGAGAACTAAGTTAACATGGTTCCGTCATCAATGTCAACGTTAAGATTTACATCACAGAAACCGTCTACAGAAGGATGCTTGCGCTTTTGATAATTTTCAGTTATTTCCTAGGCTTCCTCGACAGAAATGCAACTGCATCATTCATCTGATTGCATTAAGTTTACCCTTGCAAACAGTTTTTCGTTTCTCCTGAAAAATGATGAAAATTGAGTTATCCCCTTCTTCCGGTTTATGGATCAAGTATTTTGAGCATTCATAGTACCAAAAACTAAGTTACTTTGTTGCACGAAGAAAAAGTTAGTAAATTACGAAGTAGTTTCTTTGAAGGCTTATGTATGCTCCAAAATACTTTGTTTCAACAAGCTGCTTTTCTTAGCAAGGCCTCAAGTGGTTTGTAAGGTTTTCTCAGTGCAGACTTGATTGTGTGGCTGGTTCCTGTTATGTCAAACACACCCAATTTCCTGCTGACAAATGCCGTGCAGACGGTATGTTACCACAGGGAGTTCGTATATTTTTTTGGACCAAGCTCCTTTTTCCATCTAAGTTGTTTAAACTAAGGGGAATTACGCTGACTTGATCCCTTTTACAATTGATTCTTTTTCGGCATGTATGCACTAGTGAGAGCATGCTTGGCAGGCATGCGCTAGCTAGAGCGTACTTGCAGGCATGCTCCGGGTAGAGCTCACTATGTACGCTTTTCAAGTTGAATAGTAGGCAAATTTCCTGAGGACTTCAAATCTGATCTCAGTTTCGTGATGTGGCTCTCCGTTCGCTCGCATTAACGGTTTCAAATTCAGAATGTTACACGATGAGACATACGATGTTTTGGTCTTTACAGAATCAACGTCAGGCTGTCATACAACCTCGATGATTTTGGACCAGTCGTCCAAACACAACACTCTCAGCACGTTACTGACCTTTTGCTTATTTTTTCGGTACCTATGCAAGCAATTTTTGCAACCACAAAACGTACTTCTTTAATGAACTACTTAAGAAATATTCAATATTGTACTGACATTTTGGTTTTTTTTTACATAATTTAACAAAGGAAATTAGTCGTACTTACTTAAAAAATACTAAGTATTATTGTTGCTAATACGAATACGTAGTTGTGTGGAGTGTTGCCCTTAGGTTAGTGGACAAACTTAAATCTATACTCTTACAAAAAATAAGTATAGTTTTGGTTAAACAGTTCTAAATAAATCGCTGTACGGCGAGAGCAGAACGGCCGGCCGGGCGCCCAGGAGCGCGGAAAAGTCCTTGATCCCTAATCCGCCGGCCGAGCGGCGAGCGCGCACTGGTCGGTCGCCACTGATTCCGCGAAGTCGCCACCCGCGCCACTCGGGTCGCCACACTTTCCCAAAAAATGTCCTGTAAATGCCTTTAAATTTATTACCAGTTTTCACTGTAGGTCAACTCACAGCGTTTACTGTGATCTGCTCACGCGATTCACTGTGATCTTGTTCACGGTGTTCACTGTGATCTGGTCTACAGTAACACTGTGAGTTTGACGCCGCTGAGCATCGAAGTACTGCAAATCAGGCTCCAATTCACGGCGTTTACTGTGGCCAGATCACGGGATCACTGTAACCGAGATCACAATGAACGCCGTGAACTAGTTCACAGCAAACGCCGTGAATTGCATAACAGCAAACTTTGGTAATAAATTAACGGCGTTGACAGGACAATTTTTGTGGAGTGCACCGAAACTCGGCGGTTTTGGTTAAAGGATTTTTCCACGCTCGCCGTAAAGCGGTTTATTTAGAACTGTTTGCCCAAAAACTATACCCAATCGCAAAACAGATGTTGGCTCTGTACGCCATACCCATTGACTTTGCTCGAAAAACATTTGATCCAGGAAGCGGAAGAAGAAAAAACTCGACTTGTCCCCAAAATTGACTTTTTACCTTATTATTGTCCCTTTGGATGGTTTGCATCATTACACCAAATTGTTTGACCCAATTCCTAAAAGTTTAGGAGAAAATCCACATAAAAAATGGATATAACTCAATTTGGCCCCCTTTTATGGTCTAAATTTTTTCGGAAAAGGAGGTAACTCAACCGAAGTCCACATAACTCCTTTGCACAAAATGGCGAAAGGAGATAACTCAACTTGTGTCTTTATGAATCTTACTCGCGACGCTCGCGGGGGGCTCCCCCCCCAGACCCCCGCATAAGTGGGGCGCATACCGAAGTATTTTAGGTAAGTCCGTGGTGACCAGAGAAAAATTTTCTAAGTAAATGTACTGCTTCTTTTGGGGGGTCTATTTAACTGCTTTAGACCATATATATATTAAGCTACTATTACTGCCCAAGGAGATAGGTTCTTGATTGATATATAGGTTCTTGATGGTATAGGTTCTTCATTGATGATTTTGAGGATGTTGCCGGTGACGGGGACCCGATTACGGCACAGTTTCGGAAAAGTCTCGACTAGACCTATCGATAGGGCGAATAAAAATTTTCAGTCGGTCGGTCCCCTTTTTTAAGATTGAGTGGGTTTGCTCAAAATGTGAGGAATTTTCAACTTTTGGGATGTTTTTCCATTTTTCCCCAAAATTGGAATCGAATGGAAAAAACCCCCAAGTCTCTCGACCACTCCTTGACCCCAAAAATTTATATGAGTGAGTGAGTGAGTCAGTGAGTCAGTGAAACAGTCAGTCGGATTGGGGCTATATAGGTTCTTGATATCACATCGAAACTCATCCTTTGCGGGCCAAAAATGAATGGAACCAATTTTACTCTGCATAACATCAATTAATTGCATCACGTCACAGATAAGAGAAACCCTTTGGAAATCACAGGGGGTGTGCAAGGGACGCGGCGATGCACGTCTGGGCCCGGGCCCCGACCGCGGCGGAGATCTTCTTGCCCTCGAGGCAGGGCACGATGAAGTCGACGAGGGTCTCCCTTGGGGGAGCCCTCGTCCGCATGGCCCAGGGCGTGGTTGCGGCAGTCCGAGGCGGGATCCGCGTACGGGGGCTCGGGGGTGGAGGACAGGCACACCTCGATGCGGCTGCTGATCTCGTCGCCGCTCGGCGGAGTAGTCGGCCTGCAAATGCCGTTCAAATCAACTCACAGTGGGCTCGTCCGACAAATAGTCAATATTTTAAAAATTCACTCAGATTTCAAACGCTATGAATGTAGCACGTATGGTGCAATGCGCTGAGATATCGCACTACACGTGCAATGCCACAGCCATATTGCACCTTAGGTGCAATGCTTACCAAAACTGCCCTATGCCAATGCATAGGAAAGTGGGGCATTGCACCAATTGACGCCATACTCATAGCGTTTTGGGTTCTCAGTGTTCTGACTGAATAACCGTTCGGCGTGACACTGAAACCCTGACGTCACCACTGGAGAGCTGTTGCAACGAACGCACCTCTTCGAGTGCGGGCTTGAGAGGCACGGCCATGGAGTCCACGAGGCACTCCTCCACGGTGGCCACAGTGTCGTTGGGAACATTCCTCTCCTTCAGGCACGAAGCAACGTCAGCGGGCACCATGTCCTGGGCGAGGCCGCCCACCCGGCTCCAGCGGGTCTCCATCAGGCACATGCCGGCGGGGAGTTCGAAGCTGCTCTGGTCCTTGACGGGCTTGAGGCACACCTCGATGCGCTCGGCCATCTCGTATATCTGGTTGAAGGCGTAGTCGTCCTGCTCAAAATGGAGGGACACCAGTCCCAAAAAACGGTACAACGGAATTTATCTTAACAAATAGAGACAAAAAGAAATAAAAATGTTACTAAAGAAAAATCTTTCAAGAGTGTTTTGGGGCTCAAAAAAATGAACATTTTGCAGTGACTTGCTGTTGCGTGAGCTGCATTGATGACCCACCGAAAGTCACCATGTGAGAACGTCACAAACATTTTCTCGCTCGAGACTGGTAAACATTCGTTTTTTAAGGCAGCTTTGTGAAGCTGCTAACTAGACCAACTACATAAATCGACCGACAATCTCTGATGGCTAGATTTTCACATGTTATCGTTAAGATTCTGAGGCAAGCATTCAGAACGTAGCTCAATCGTGATTTTGTGGCAACTGCAGCAAAGTACTCACTGCGAAGGCGGCCGCCACCAGGCCCACGACAAGGAGAAGGGAACGGATCATGTTGCTGCGGTGTCAAGTCGAAGCTGATTGAGTGGACGGCATTCATTTGTATTTAAAGGAAACGGGCGCGACGATTACGAATGGGATGTGTTACCAGTTGGCGTGGTTTCCATTTCAAGGAATCGTGCTTGTGGTGGCATTTGAACGCCCTGAGCACACATGGAGGCAAACAAAAGCGATGCCGCAGACCGCGGTAACTTGAGACACGGCATCAAAGTCGTTAGGCATCTCATGTTACGTCGGTTTGCGATGCGCGCGATGGTGCTAAACTGGCTCACTGCTCTTCTTGTTTTCTTTGTGGCAATAAAAGGGTTTTCTCGGTAATCGAGCCACTTGCGCCACGTGTTTTACCTCGTCACTGCACAGTAGGCCAGAAGACCAGCATACACTGTTAAAATTATTCGTAAAGTTACGAAGAAATTGAAAACAATAGTTCCGTAAACTTACGACCCTAAGTCGTTCTAGGGAGAACGAATAAAGAACCGTTCACAAACAACAAATGTCATCTACTATCAATACGGATAAATCATCGTTGCAATAGGATCAGTTCGTAGAAATACAATGGAACCATATCAAAACGAACAAATCGTTAAGAAACGATATGCCTTCAAAAAACAAAATTAATGTCGTTCTTCAACGACATAATTTAAAAAACTCGTCTCAGATATAATGTTCCTAAAACCGAGAATAATTGGCTGAGCGATAGCGAAGCCCTTGCCGTGTTTGGGCGCGCTGAAAAGTGACTGGTCGTGCGTCTGTCTGTCTGTCTGTCTGTCTGTTTGTACTCACCAACGATTCTCAGCAACTACATTGGCTTTAGGTCCCAAATTTTGTATTTCGTGTCACCTTAGTTCCCCCCAACACGAGTTTGTTTCAAATCGTTGTTTAGTATCGTTTGAAATATTCAAAACATATTTTTGAATCAGGTTATTAGCATGGTTAGGTTGGCAGCACACACACCAATTTCTCATACCTGCGGCCGCGGCTCTGAAATACGGGACAGAAGCAAAAGCAAATAAAACAAAATAACGAGCAGAAGGGTTTGGAAATGAGATCGGCCATAGTTTTTCAACATTCTAGAATGATTAAAACCCTTTTGGAGTATCAACACAGCGAAATATGGAGAATGGAAGTGAAAATGATTTACGTCTTTCGTTCCCCTCGCCCCCCTCCCCCGTTAGAGGGGAATCTTCTTCAGGTCAGTGCACTTTGACAGAGCATTGTAGAAAGAATGTTTTTATTTTGACCTTTTGTATTGTGGGCATCTACATATTTCATTTTCCATAGTGTCATCCTCTTTTTTAAATTTTCATAGTAGATGAAATCAGGGAAATGCATAAATAACTTGTGTTGAAATTAGCAGGCATACTTAGTTTGGACTCGACAAATACATTCTATTTCAATGCTGCAAGCTGACAATAGTGCAAAAGTACTAACATGTGTTTATTATTAGAATCAATGTATGGTTGTGTATATTTAATCCTAATAGAGTTTGAATTGATATTGGGTTCAAGGAGACGGCTCAGGTTTTGAGCGGTGAGTGAATTAGTGATTCGATTTATGGAGACGATTCCTTTAACTTCACCTAAGTTAATATAACTGGTACTACTCAGTATTGTTTACATAAGTAAGATAAATTATGTCGGTTCATTAAGTTTCGGGTAGCCTTGGCATTGGACTCTATGTGGCAAATCACTGGATTTGACAATAATTGGTCCCCGTTAACTGGTTCAGATCAGGCTCTGCCCTAAACTGACTCTCAATATTAACTGTGATAACATGTTCCAATCAATATTGTTTTATTCACTGGTTCACAATGAAAGAAGGGCAAAATGTTTCTTAAATATTACTTATAAAATTGTGAATTCATTAGTTAAGGAAAAAAAGATATCGAATAGTGACCCAAGCATACGAGTAGCCAATTAAGCGATTCAATGCTGGCAATTAAATGTTACTCGACTGAGGGATTCGCATTGGTGTGGCAGCAGGGAATTGGTGACGACAGAGGGTGCTTCATGAAAACAAATAGGAACAATATACAGAAATTGAGTCTTAAGTATTGTATGTAGTTTTCAGTGTACTAGTCACAAAAACTACATTAATTTCAATGCCAATCCTAAATTTTCATCTAGCTACGCAATTTGGGGCCAGACTTTCCAAGTTGAGATTTATGTCTTTCCCTGTAGTTTTCAGTGCGCTGACCTCAATATTGACATCTTAATTGTCCTCTGACTTTTAACACCAGACCTATATTTTCATCCCATATGAGGTCATTTTGGACCAAAAATTTCAAGTCAAGTTTTATATTGTTTCCTGCAGTTTTTGATGTGCTGAACCCAAAAATGACTTTCAAATTTTACTCAGACTCACACTTACGCGAATTTTGACCAATTTCGGACCAAAATTTTTAAATCGAGTTTGACGTTGATCCCAGCAGTTTTTGGTGTGCTGATAACGAAAATCACTCCCATTTCGACTCCAGACTTATATTTTCATCCCAAATTAGGTCATTTTGGACCAAAATTTTCAAGTCGAGTTTTATATTGTCTCCTGCAGTTTTTGGTGTGCTGAACTCAAAAATGACCACCAAACTTTTCCCAGACTCACATTTAACCGAATTTTCACCAATTTTGGACCAAAATTTTTATATTGAGTTTGACATTGGTTCCAGCAGTTTTTTGTGTTCTGATAACGAAAATCACTTCAATTTGTACCCTCCTGGTCTAAAGTTCACTCAATATAAGCCCATAAGTTGCACATTTCGTCTACTCAAGCAAAGTCCAAAGTGCACAAACTATGTCAATTCGCTTCGCTCAGCCACACTACGCGCCCAGACTAAACGGCGCGTACCCCTAGTTATTGAAATTGAGGAGTCTTGATGGTAGGGACTGCTTTGATAGCAGACTGAAAGTCACTCTTTCAGTCAAGAAATCAGTCAACCATGCAGTTCATGAAGTCATGGAGAAGCCCTCACATGAAATCACTTACAGTTTGAAAGCCTCGAGGTGTGATGTGACGGGTGAATGCGGCTAGGGGGAAAAGATTCATCCAAATCCATTTTGATGTTGTGCTGCTTTTCGCCAGGGCGTCCATCTTGTAGTCAGGTAAAATCCTTGTTCACTGTTCACTTCACTGGAAGTTCTGCCACAGAACTTCCGTCCCCAAAATGTGTCATGGCATAATAAACAGCGGTGGGACATCACGTAAGTCACTTAAGTCCAAGTCCAAGTACACAACAACAGTCCTTTAGAACGCGAAGAGAAACGAAGGCCTATCTTCTGAAACTTGTGTGCCAAAACTTCAAAACCAACTACAAAGTTCGAAAACAAACAACAGTCGAAAGCCGAAAATCAGCTGATTGAGTGTGAATAATGATTCGGTTCAGTAACCAATAGGAGCCGGGCAGCGGGGGTGAACTGAGCGGCCAAGACTGGCACTGGTTTTGTTCTTGTTCTTGCTATTGTTGTGACGTCAGTACCAAAAATCCTGTAGGGCCAACAGGCAACAATAAAATCGTAGCGTTCTCTCGCTTTTCCCACAGTAATAAATCGAAGACGTTACAAAAGGTATTTCTCACTCCCATTCAACAGCACATGAAAAATCCCACAAAAAACGAGTACATTTCTGTCAGCTTTGTGAATCTTTTTGATGTAGTGTACAGGAAGATTCGTCGCGGGAGTGTGGTGTGCTTGCAGACGCCGGCAAACCTTTATGTGTAAACAACGTTTGTGGCGAAATATATTGGTAAATAACAGTGTTATAACTCAAATCGACCATTTTTAAAGTGAATTGTGGCTCAAGATGGATATAAATGGTCGTTGGTTCACTACGCCTGAAGAATCAGATATGCTGAGAGGGGAAAATGGAAGTGTTTAGCAGCCCCTAACCTCCACGTTGATGTTTACTCTTCAAGAATTTATATTTTGCTATTAATTGCTAATGGTACGACAACAATAATTGATATTGAGGATTGACATCAGCACCGTGTGGGCCTGTAAATGAAAGCTAACCTCTACCATTTGCGCCGTGCACAATTACTTGTCAGTGAAGAGAACTTGACTCTGGGTAAGGATTATTTTGATAACATAAATATCATTCCAGTGAATATATATTTATTTTTAAATATATAACAGTCAACAAAAAAAAACATTCCATTAAATGTCAACGCCAAAAAAAAAAATTGATATTATTTTCATTCAAAATAAACTATGTCAGGTCCAAAAATAAAACTTAACAGACTCATTGGTGAGAAACCCTCTGAATTTTTTGACTTTTCTTGTCTGAAGTTCTTCTGTGCTTGCCCTTAAATTCTGACGTTCTCGTCTTTAAGCTTGTCCTGCAGAACTTGTTTGACAATATCATTGAAAAATTTTTGGCTTGTACTCTTCATCATGAAGTAAACAGAAGTTCAGTGACTGGACCTCAGGCAGAGTAGTAACAAATAACTCAATCCGTTTCACGATATTTTTCAGATGATACGAAGGTTTGCCAGTTTCACTGCGTGTGCAATTGCTTTCACAGCTTCAGCAACTTCTATGGTTGGCAACAGTTTGGATGAATCAGAGATGCTTGATGTCATCGTGTGGTCAAGATGAAGCGGATTTTGGGCCTCTGTGTGCAGCCGTCCCTTACAATCCAAGCAGTTGCCAAGGTTGGTCATAATTTTATCAACATATGGTGTTGCAAGTTTGGCACTGGCCATCATGTCCAGTCTGTTTCCATTAACGTCTATGTCATCAGGATCCTCCAGCTCTTCATTGAGATCCAGCCACAGGACCTCCTCCACCACTTGGCTTTGTTGAAGTGCCCTGGCTTCTAGAGACTCCAGCAACTCTTCCATTGAAACAAGGTTAACAGCCTCATCATCACGGCAGTTTTTTCCTTTTGATAAAGCTGTGATGTTTTTGACTAAGGACCTCATAAAGGCTGATGGAATTTCTGCTGCCGAAGGATTTCCGTTGTGCCCAAGATTACCACGAATGCCACAGAAAAGATTTTCCTCACAATCTTGATTGATGTGGCCGACTGGTAAGTACAAATATCCTTCTGATTGAAGATCTTCCCACAGAATTTTGTAACCATTCATGGTTCTTGTCCAATTCTTCATGACCTGTACTTTTGTTGACCCCAGGAATTGCCAATGCTCCATCTCAAACAAAAGCTGGTTCCAAAGTTGGATGTGGGCACTGGATGCAGACAAGGCACATTTAAAATCATCGGGTGCAGGATTTTCTTCATAGATAGTGCCGCCAAATTTACATTCATTTTGTCGAAGCGACCTGGATCAACGTGACGCATGGTAAGTTTCTTGGCCAAACGTACCTCTCTTTCCATATCGTGCAAGATGAAGGCCTTGATAAATTTTATATCAATCAAAGATCCATCAGGACGGAGAAGTCTAGAGACCCTCCCGTCAGAGATGCGCAAAGGGGGGCCCTCTCAGCCAATCACAGACGACTGGTAGTCACATGCGGAGCGGGAAGCCCGAATTCGCCCCGCGCGAGGCTACGCAGGTCAGCATCTGGTGCGGCACAGCAGGTATACGGCGGTCGCCCGCTAGCCTGACTCAGGGTGCCTTTGACTCCACGGGACTACCAAGCGCTGGCTTGCGCATCTCTGACGGGAGGGTCTCTAGGTCGGTCGCCACTGATTCCGCGAAGTCGCCACTCCAGCGCCACTCGGGAGCGCCACTCGGGTCGCCACACTCTACCAAAAATGTCCTGTCAATGCCGTTAATTTATTACCAGTTTTCACTGTAGGTCAACTCACAGCGTTTACTGTGATCTGCTCACGCGATTCACTGTGATCTTGTTCACGGTGTTCACTGTGTTTGGTTCAGTAAACACTGTGAGTTTGACGCCGCTGAGCATCGAAGTACTGCAAATCAGGCTCCAATTCACGGCGTTTACTGTGGCCAGATCACAGTGATCACTGTAACCGAGATCACAATGAACGCCGTGAACTAGTTCACAGCAAACGCCGTGAATTGCATAACAGCAAACATTGTTAATAAATTAACGGCGTTGACAGGACAATTTTTGTAGAGTGCACCGAAACTCGGCGGTTTTGGTTAAAGGACTTTTCCACGCTCGCCGTAAAGCGGTTTATTTAGAACTGTTTGACCAAAACTATACCCAATCGCAAAACAGATGTTGGCTCTGTACGCCATACCCATTGACTTTGCTCGAAAAACATTTGATCCAGGAAGCGGAAGAAGAATACTCGACTTGTCTCCAAATTGACTTTTTACCTTATTATTGTGCCTCTGGATGGTTTGCATCATTACACCAAATTGTTTGACCCAATTCCTAAAAGTTTAGGAGAAAATCCACATGAAAAATGGATATAACTCAACTTGGCCCTTTTTATGGTCTAAATTTTTTCGGAAAACGGAGGTAACTCAACCGAAGTCCACATAACTCCTTTGCACAAAATGGCGAAAGGAGATAACTCAACTTGTGTTGGGGTTTGGGATTTTGAATAGCTCATTTGTCCAACCCCCCCCCTGATACCTTTAGTTTACAAGAGGTATCTTCCTCTGTTTATTTTTACTATATTCATATGCGTATACATAGTCGAGCTCCATAGTCCAAGCTCTATAGTCCAAGTAGTCCAAACTCTAAGTCCAAACTCTATAGTCCAACTCTATAGTCCAAACTCTATAGTCCAAACTCTATAGTCCAAACTCTATAGTCCAAACTCTATAGTCCAAACTCTATAGTCCAAACTCTATAGTCCAAACTCCATAGTCCAAGCTCCATATCCATTCCATAGTCCATATTCTATAGTCCATATTCTATAGTCCAAGCTCTATAGTCCAAGCTCCATAGTCCAAACTCTATAGTCCAAACTCTATAGTCCAAGCTCCATAGTCCAAGCTCCATAGTCCATATTCTATAGTCCAAGCTCAATAGTCCAAGCTCCATAGTCGTACGCCAAGCTTCATAGGCCATTTAGTTTGAGAATAAGATCTGTCGCGAGTAGGGTATGATCTTTCGCGAGTAGAGGAAGATCTGTCACGAGCCCGTTAGGTTAGGGTTGGTTGGACCATTTAGTTTGAGAATAAGATCGGTCGAGAGTAGGGAAAGATCTGTCACGAGTAGAGAAAGATCTGTCACGAGCCCGTTAGGTTAGGTTAGGATTGGTTGGACCATTTAGTTTGAGAATAAGATCTGTCGAGAGTAGAGAGATCTGTCGAGAGTAGGGTAAGATCTGTCACGAGTAGAGTAACATCTGTCACGAGCCCGTTAGGTTAGGTTAGGATTGGTTGGATCATTTAGTTTGAGAATAAGATTCGAGAGTAGGAAAGATCTGTCACGAGTAGAGAAGATCTGTCACGAGCCCGTTAGGTTAGGTTAGGTTTGGTTGGACCATTTAGTTTGAGAATAAAATCTGTCGAGAGTAGAGTAAGATCTGTCACGAGCCCGTTAGGTTAGGATTGGTTGGAACATTTAGTTTTAGATTATTAAATAGCCTTCCGTCGATTCAAGGAGAAACCAACCATTGCCGAATCACAATCCTTCGCGCAAAAGCATACTTCCTGGCTATCACCCCTCAAAAAGAAAAGAGGCTCATTTTCAAAATAAACACATCCAAATTTACTACTGATGAAAATGCATTTCCATCGCTCCAGCAGAATCCAGCTCAGCATCGAGGCCGAAGGCTGGTTCCAAAGTTGGATGTGGGCACTGGATGCAGACAAGGCACATTTAAAATCATCGGGTGCAGGATTTTCTTCATAGATAGTGCCATTAAATGAGTCAAAAAAATTATTTATGAGCTCACAAAATTTTCCAGTCTCCATGGCTCTGTGGCGAATACCTAGTGAGGTGTATGTCATAACACCTGATCCTGTAGTTTTGCTGAACAGCTGTGCAGCCAAATTTACATTCATTTTGTCGAAGCGACCTGGATCAACGTGACGCATGGTAAGTTTCTTGGCCAAACGTACCTCTCTTTCCATATCGTGCAAGATGAAGGCCTTGATAAATTTTATATCAATCAAAGATCCATCAGGACGGAGAAGTCTAGAGACCCTCCCGTCAGAGATGCGCAAAGGGGGGCCCTCTCAGCCAATCACAGACGACTGGTAGTCACATGCGGAGCGGGAAGCCCGAATTCGCCCCGCGCGAGGCTACGCGGTCAGCATCTGGTGCGGCACAGCAGTATACGGCGGTCGCGCCGCTACCTGACTCAGGTCCCTTTGACTCCACGGGACTACCAAGCGCTGGCTTGCGCATCTCTGACGGGAGGGTCTCTAGGTCGGTCGCCACTGATTCCGCGAAGTCGCCACTCCAGCGCCACTCGGGAGCGCCACTGGGTCCCCACACTCTACCAAAAATGTCCTGTCAATGCCTTTAATTTATTACCAGTTTTCACTGTAGGTAAACTCACAGCTTTTACTGTGATTGCTCACGCGATTCACTGTGATCTTGTTCACGGTGTTCACTGTGATCTGGTCTACAGTAAACACTGTGAGTTTGACGCCGCTGAGCATCGAAGTACTGCAAATCAGGCTCCAATTCACGGCGTTTACTGTGGCCAGATCACAGTGATCACTGTAACCGAGATCACAATGAACGCCGTGAACTAGTTCACAGCAAACGCCGTGAATTGCATAACAGCAAACATTGTTAAAAAATTAACGGCTTGACAGGAAAATTTTTTGTAGAGTGCACCGAAACTCGGGGGTTTTGGGTTTTAAAGGACTTTTCCACGCTCGCCGTAAAGCGGTTTATTTAAAAATGTTTGACCAAAATATACCCAATCGCAAAACAGATGTTGGCTCTGTACCCCCATACCCATTGATTTTGCTCGAAAAACATTTGATCCAGGAAGCGGAAGAAGAAAATAACTCGACTTGTCTCCAAATTGACTTTTTACCTTATTATTGTGCCTCTGGATGGTTTGCATCATTCCCCCAAACCAAAATTTGTTTAAAAAACCCAAAAAAATTTCCCTTTTAAATTTTTTTAAAGGGGGAAAAAATCCAAAATTTGAAAAAGGGGAAAATAACTCAACTTGGTTTTTTTAGGGAAATTTTTTGGGAAAACCCGGGGGGTCCCCCAACCCCCGAAAGTCCAAAAAATAATTCCTTTGCCAAAAATTTTCAAAAAAATTTAACTCCTTTTTGGGGGGTCTTTAAAATGAATTTAAAAACTCCCCCGGAGTGGCGGGGGGTCCCCCCAACCCCCCAAAAAAGGGGGGGGATACCAAGAAATTTTGGGTAATTTGGTACCAAAAAATTTTCAATAAAATTTTTCTTTTTCTTTTTAAACGGGCTTTGGGCCCCATAATAATTTAAAGGGCTCCCATTACCCCCCGGAGATAGGTTTTTGTTTGGATATAGGTTTTTTGAGGGTATGGTTCTTCATTGATGATTTTGAGGATGTTGCCGGTGACGGGGACCCGATTACGGCACAGTTTGGGAAAATGTCTCGACTAGACCTATCGATGGGGCGAATAAAATTTTCAGTCGGTCGGCCCCTTTTTTTAAGATTGAGTTGGTTTGCTCGAAAACTGTGGGGAATTTTCAACTTTTGGGATGTTTTTCCTTTTTTCCCATAAAATTTGGAATCGAATGGAGAAAAAAGCAAGTTTTACGACCACTCCTTGACCCCAAACATTTATATGAGTGAGTGAGTGAGTCAGTGAGTCAGTAAAACACAGTCGGATTGGGGCTATATAGGTTCTTGATATCACATCGAAACTCATCCTTTGCGGGCCAAAAATGAAGGGAAACCCAAATTTTTACTCTGCATAACATAAATTAATTGCATCACGTCAAGATAAGAGAAACCCTTTGGAAATCACAGGGGCTGTGCAAGGGACGCGGCGATGCACGTCGGGGGCCTGGGCCACGACCGCGGCGGAGATCTTCTTGCCCTCGAGGCAGGGCACGATGAAGTCGACGAGGGTCTCCTTGGGGTAGCCCTCGTCCGCAGGGCCCCAGGGCGTGGTTGCGGCAGTCCGAGGCGGGATCCGCGTACGGGGTCTCGGGGATGGAGGACAGGCACACCTCGATGGGGCGCTGATCTCGTCGCGCTGCTCGGCGGAGTAGTCGGCCTGCAAATGCCGTTCAAATCCTCACAGTGGTCTCGTCCGACAAATAGTCAATATTTTAAAAATTCACTCAGATTTCAAACGCTATGAATGTAGCACGTATGGTGCAATGCGCTGAGATATCGCACTACACGTGCAATGCCACAGCCATATTGCCCTTAGGTGCAATGCTTACCAAAACTGCCCTATGCCAATGCATAGGAAAGTGGGGCATTGCACCAATTGACCCCATACTCATAGCTTTTGGATTCTCAGTGTTCTGACTGAAAAACCCGTTCGGCGTGACACTAAAACCCCGGACGTCCCACTGGAGAGCTGTTGCAACGAACGCACCTCTTCGAGTGCGGGCTTGAGAGGCACGGCCATGGAGTCCACGAGGCACTCCTCCACGGTGGCCACAGTGTCGTTGGGAACATTCCTCTCCTTCAGGCACGAAGCAACGTCAGCGGGCACCATGCCCGGGGCGAGGCCGCCCACCAGGCTCCAGCGGGTCTCCATCAGGCACATGCCGGCGGGGAGTTCGAAGCTGCTCTGGTCCTTGACGGGTTTGAGGCACACCTCGATGCGCTCGGCCATCTCGTATATCTGGTTGAAGGCGTAGTCGTCCTGCTCAAAATGGAGGGACACCAGTCCAAAAAACGGTACAACGGAATTATATCTTAACAAATAGAGACAAAAAAGGAGTAAAAATGTTACTAAAGAAAAATCTTTCAAGAGTGTTTTGGCGCTCAAAATAATGAACATTTTGCAGTGACTTGCTGTTGCGTGAGCTGCATTGATGCCCCACCGAAAGTCACCATGTGAGAACGTCACAAACATTTTCTCGCTCGAGACTGGTAAACATTCGTTTTGTAAGGCAGCTTTGTGAAGCTGCTAAACTAGACCAACTACATAAATCGCCCGACAATCTCTGAGGGCTAGATTTTCACATGTTATCGTTAAGATTCTGAGGCAAGCATTCAGAACGTAGCTCAATCGTGATTTTGTGGCAACTGCACCCAAAGTACTCACTGCGAAGGCGGCCGCCACCAGGCCCACGACAAGGAGAAGGGAACGGACATGTTGCTGCGGTGTCAAGTCGAAGTGATTGAGTGGACGGCATTATTTGTATTTAAAGGAAACGGGCGCGGCGATTACGAATGGGATGTGTTTCCAGTTGGCGTGGTTTCCATTTTAAGGAATCGTGCTTGTGGTGGCATTTGAAAAGCCCTGAGCACCCCATGGAGGCAAACAAAAGCGATGCCGCAGACCGCGGTAACTTGAGACACGGCATCAAAGTCGTTAGGCATCTCATGTTACGTCGGTTTGCGATGGCGCGATGGTGCTAAATGGCACACTGCTCTTCTTGTTTTCTTTGTGGCAATAAAAGGGGTTTTTTCGGTAATCGAGCCACTTGCGCCACGTGTTTTTTCCTCGTCACTGCACAGTAGGCCAGAAGACCAGCATACACTGTTAAAATAATCGTAAAGTTACGAAGAAAATTTAAAACAATAGTTCCGTAAACTTACGACCCTAAGTCGTTCTAGGGAGAACGAATAAAGAACCGTTCACAAACAACAAATGTCATCTACTATCAATACGGATAAATCATCGTTCCAATAGGACAAGGTAGGTTTACGCCAGACCGCGTCTTGTCGTAACAGGCTTCGCGATGTCTCGCGGCCTGTTCCTCCAATCCGCGCCTGGCGTACCTACCTTGGCCTGCGGCGCTAGCCTGCCTTCGGCAGGCATTGGCTTGTCCATCGTCGGTTACTTCTTACGTGTTGCATGCTGGGGGGCTCCGCCCCCCACACCCCCCTTTATTCTAGATAGAGTTGCTTCATCTACAGATGACACGATCTTGACCCCTTTTCACTTTTTAACCTTTTCGAAGCTGGGGGGCTCCGCCCCCCCGACCCCCCCTTTTTTCAAGACAGAGAGATCTACCTGCAGAACACTCTGAGAAAAAAAGACGGTAAATCCCGGATAATTTTTTTTCCAAACTTTACCGTACTTCAAAAAACCAGTATCCACCGTACAGTCTACAGTATTTTCCGTACTTGTTTTACAAAATATTTCGTAGTTTTTTTTAGCAGTAGTTACCGTTCTTTCGTACAGTGCATGCCGTAGGAAGGACCAGATCTGGTCCCAACAAAGGCCGCTCCCAAGAATTGTCCACATCATGATCTTGAAAAAAGGGGGTCGACCGACTGAAAAATTTTATTGCACCTTTCGATAGGTCTCGTCAAGACCTTTTCAACGAGTGGTCGGAAGGGGGGTCCAGGAGTCCGACTTCAGCAGTTATGTACATCAGAATCTTGAAAAAAGAGGGTCGACCGACTGAAATAAATTATAGCAGTTTTTGGTAGGTATTAAAAGTACGGGATTGCCGGGTAAAAAAGTACGGGATTCCTTGTAAAAAAAGTACGGTGTTGCCTGTAAAAAAAACGACGGTTTTGCCTGTTAAAAAAGTACGGTGAAGTCTGGAGTAATCAGTACAGGATTTACCGTGATCTTTTCTCGCAGTGAAAACTCGATTTTTCGCCGTTTTTCAGGTGTTTTTCGGCTATAAAAACTGAACCAGTTGAGCTAGGATAGTGAAATTTCGCGTGTGCTGAGCCAAGAACATACCTAATAAGCCTGCAAAGTCTCAGCCAGATCGGCCGAGCCGTTCAGGAGGAGTAGTGTACACACACAGACAGACAGACAGACAGACAAAACTTTTCAACCGCACTGGAGTAACGGGCTTCGCTATCGCTCAGCCAATCAGTTCGTAGAAATACAATGGAACCATATCAAAACGAACAAATCGTTAAGAAACGATATGCCTTCAAAAAACAAAATTAATGTCGTTCTTCAACGACATAATTTAAAAAAATCGTCTCAGATATAATTTTCCCAAAACCCAGGATAATTATTGAAATTGAGGAGTCTTGATGGTAGGGACTGCTTTGATAGCAGACTGAAAGTCCTCTTTCAGTCAAGAAATCAGTCAACCATGCAGTTCATGAAGTCATGGAGAAGCCCTCACATGAAATCACTTACAGTTTGAAAGCCTCGAGGTGTGATGTGACGGGTGAATGCGGCTAGGAGGAAAAGATTCATCCAAATCCATTTTGATGTTGTGCTGCTTTTCGCCAGGGCGTCCATCTTGTAGTCAGGTAAAATCCTTGTTCACTGTTCACTTCACTGGAAGTTCTGCCACAGAACTTCCGTCCCCAAAATGTGTCATGGCATAATAAACAGCGGTGGGACATCACGTAAGTCACTTAAGTCCAAGTCCAAGTACACAACAACAGTCCTTTAGAACGCGAAGAGAAACGAAGGCCTATCTTCTGAAACTTGTGTGCCAAAACTTCAAAACCAACTACAAAGTTCGAAAACAAACAACAGTCGAAAGCCGAAAATCAGCTGATTGAGTGTGAATAATGATTCGGTTCAGTAACCAATAGGAGCCGGGGGGGTGACGTCATCACCTTTTTGCTCGTCCTCCGCTCGCACTGGGGGGCTTTGTTTACATTTGCCGGGGGGAGTTTTGCCAGTTTCCTTCGCGATTCTGACAGTTTTCTTCCCTCTTCGCCTGCCAATGAGCTTTCTCAACCTCGTTTTTGCACGCCAAATCTAGATATCGCTCGTGTTGCGTTCGCTTTTTAATACCACTCAACATTGCGTTTTGCCATAACCTTCCTTTGTCGTTTTGCAAAACTGCAGGCTGTTTGTGACATTTTCTGCTTTGATCCGACAATGACGTGCTCTGTTTGTGTGTTCCAGGTCGCGAATCCTGTCGCTGTTGTAGCCAATGCTTAGCCAGGATGTTTGAGACTGTCCTTGGATGCAGAGCCTGAGGGAATCAGCTGCTATAGCATCAGTTTCCACTCGAGATAACCTGCTGTTTCCATCTAAAAGGTAAATGACCAGAAAAGGAATGTGGACAGCAACAACTACCTTATTTTCCAAATATCTTGTCATGTGAAACACTAATCTTTCTAGTTCTGTAAGTCTGTCCTTTGGACTACTGCTATCTGATCATTAAAGGTATGCTAGTAATTCTGACTTTTGGTTGGTTTCTTTCCTCTGCCTCTCAACCTTGTGAAAAATTGCTCAATTTTTTTTTTTTTTTTAAAAAGGGTTTACTTAAGCATGAGTAACCTCCACCTAGCGTTTCTTTTCAAATTTTTCTCTTGCTCCAAATGTATTGATATGCTGCACAAATTTTTAAGAATGATTTTATGCAAAAACTAAATTGATTACTCTTACACTGTTAAAAAAAGTCTGAAAATTCAGACCAATTTTTTCAGACCTAGTGGTCTGAATCTGAAATTCAGACTTGAGTCAGAATTTTCAGACAGTTGGTCTTAATTTTTCACCTAGTGGTCTGAAAAAAGAGTTTCGGACCCCAAAAGTCTGAATATTTGGATGGCGCGGTATAGATTTTCGGCGTCGGGGTCTTAAAAAAGTCATTTGTAGTAGAAGGTCTGAATTTTTATCCCGCGCAGTCTGAAATTGACGCTTTCCGTATTTTTTATAAAAAAGGGATGACTGCGTTTCAGGTGCTATGGACCCTGAATTGTAGAGCAGTAGTAAACAGAATTTTTCTCAGCTAAGCGAACGGCCGTCTAATGTTGAGTTTAAAATCAGCCTGCACTCCGCTGGTAGCTGCAGGATGCGACATTTTT